AGAGAGGATCGGCAATAAGCTGAACGAACGAACCTGTGCAATACTCAGCGATTTAAATCCGGGTCTCTTCAGTTCTTCTGGAAGTATTTCCCGATCATCAATTGAAGCCGGAATCGGTTTCAGTTCGCAGGAACGATTACCCGGCGAGCCGCAAGCATACTCCTCGTAATACACAACACCGCTGCGTCTGTAACAGAGATTCACATTGCTCATATGATAAAATGGGTTTCAATAAAATGTTGTATCAATAAAATGTTTCCACCAGGTTCAATCTTCAGATTGCTATTCGAAAATATCCAGAGAGATTTATTCGAAACTTATTCGTAGTTTTATCGGTATTTGCACTAAACTTTGAATCCGATTCCAGATGTCGACCTCTGAACTCGCTAAAGTTTCTAAGTTCATTCTGATAAATAATGACAGTGAATGACTCACTTATAACATCGATAAACCATCGCTTTTTCAACAACATCTTCCCCGATTGGTAAGTCACGCTGTTCGTTTATGTAACATCCTCAAGTTCACCATTGTTCTCTCGGAGAAAAACTATTGTAAGAAAAGTGTTTTGAAAAACTGGGGATATAAAAGAATTTTCTGTGGATTTGGAATGGGAATAGAGAATTTTACGTAAGCGAAAGTAATTCTTCAAGTATAAAAGAAGAACATACCAATAATATTGACGAGACCATTTTCGCATTCATAATTCAGATGATTCTGTTTAAATCGCTCGCCTTCTTCATACTTTTTGCCATTCATCGTGCACTGAGTTGCTGAATTTAAGGTTCAGGTTAAATTGAAACATTCCAGGCAAATTATTACTTTTAGAATGGATTATTTTGCGATCGATAGATCGTTTAGTTTTGATTTGATGCAATCAGATAATAAATCGATAATGATCTCGAACCAGTGGTATAATAGTGAATAGTTCCATCATTATCCGCGCAATGGTGAATGATTCCGTCCACTTCAGTCTCGCTACCAGGTTTCATTTGATGCTCTTTGTTGTTGTCATCACTGTAGTGACATCCTTCAAATTATCACAACGACATTATGGTATTGTGAAATGAAATATGGTCATCAATTGCACTTGTGAAAAATATTTGGAATGACTTGATAAATGGTGTTTGGAGCGAATTTGATGGCAATAACAATACACAAATAGATGAGAATACGAGTATT